TCTTTAATATCGAGGTAAGGGCGAGGTAAGATAAAGGGACACGACTATTCCTTTATCACTATAACGTAAAGGGGAGCCGAACTATAATAGTAACGCGCAGTTATATAACCCCTAGAGGGGGAGGGGGGGGATAGTGTTACGGGTTAACCCCGATATAGAGGATCCGGCTATACTCCGGATCTTCCTAACTACGCGCTTAGTTAACGGACCTATATCGCTAAGTTATCACTACCTTATAGCCAGCCTAATACCGTAGACCTTTCTTCTTTTTCCCTTTTCCCTCCTTAGTTCTAGATAATCTAGTATTACGACCTCACTTAGTGCCATAACCTATAACCAGTCGTTCACACTAGCCATCTAATAGCACCTAGCGTAGGTTTAACTAGGTGCCCCCCTATAATAACCGGGGCGTCTTCGATAGAGCGTCTTCGGTAGAAGTACATAAGCTCTACTATATCCGGGTCGAAAAAAATATAGTTATTATTAGCTGCTTCGAAAAGGGAGGCTACGGCTTTTTCTAGGATCTTATAGTTTTTCCTAGCTGACGTAGACGCTATAGATAGCTAAAAATCGTCTATATAGGATAACTAAAGACCTTTAAAATCCGGCCCCGCTATAACCTTCCTAATATAAATTAGGAATAGGATAGGGGAAACCGGGGAGCCTTATAGGACCCCTATATTTAGGGGGGTAGGCTGCTAAACCTAATCCTCGAAGGCTAGTTAGATATACCTGTTTTCTATAAAGGAGGCTACCTATTTAACTAGATTCGAGGGTAGTTAGAGCTCTTAAAGAGTTCTTAGTAGCTAAGGGCGGGCGACGTGGTCGAAGGCTCCTTTAATATCTAAAAATAGCGTAGAAATTACGGCGTTTTGCCGTGATTTACGCTATTTTTCGATATAGTGGAAGAGAAGAAGGGCCGTATCGATAGCGGATCGTTATTTTCTACCCCCTATCTAACTAGGATGTAAAAGGTCGTCGCGGGTATTAGCTAAAAAGCTTAGTCTAGTAGCTATAACCCTCTCGAGGACTTTACCTAAGCAGTTTAGAAGGCCTATAATCCTATAAGACTTAGGATTAGAATAGTCCTTCTTCCCCGGCTTTAGTAGAACGACCCCTAGGGCCTCTTCCTAGCAGGTAGGGTAGTGGCGTACTAAAAATAAAGCTAAGTAGGCCTTTAAGAAGGGCCCGGAATAGCCTTATAGGCCTGTTAGATTGGCTATAAGCTTATTCTATTAGGCCCTAGGGCTTTCCCCTTAGTAGCTCTAAAGATAGCGCATTATAGTTCGGAAGCCTATAGGCTAGGCCACTCCTATAGTCTTCTAAGGCCCTTACTACGTGATCTAGTCAGGCTTTAGGGGCCGTTAGAAGGGTTAAAGAGGCCTATGTCCCCCGAAGGGCCTATAAATATAGGGGCTTTAGGGGCGTTGGTGGCGGAAGGAAGAGGAAGAGGAAAAAGGGGCTAAATAAGGGCGTTGTATTTTTTATCGAAGGCGTAGGCTTTCTGCTTTATAGGCGTTTAAATCGGTGGGACTTTAGCGTTTAGGCCGCTCTTTATATAGTTATAGGCCTTAAAAATCCTAGGGCCTTAAGCGTTAGCTAGGAAGGCCTCCTAGTGGTTCTTTTTTACTCTTTTTACTGCCCTATAATAGGCGTTTCGAGCCTCTTTCCAGGTGGTTTCTAGAGCCGCTAGCCGGGTAGCCGAGGCTCTCTTTTTAGCTTTTCTAAACACCCTAAAAGCCCTGTTAGCTGATTTTCGCAGGGCTTTTAGGTCTGGAGTCCACCACGGTTTCGAACACTCTACTACCCTTAGCTTAGGTATAGAGGCCTTAAGAGCCAGGGAGATAGTATCCGTTAGGTGACGACCTATAGAGTCCTAATCCGAGGCGTCGATAGCCTGCTATAGCTGCTAGTCGAGGCTAGGCTTTAGGCTTTTTATGGTGCTAGTAAATAGACCCTAGTCCGCTAGCCTATAATTATAGGCCAGTAGAAAGGATTTATTTATAGGACTTTTAGAGCCTAGAATAGAGGCTAAAATTAGGATAGCGCGGTGTAAAGAGGGAGTATTTTCGATATATTCCCACTTATAAAAGCGGAGACGATCGAAGCCGGGCGTGTAAAATACTAGGTCTATAACCGACTCTTAACGAAGATTAGACCTAAAGAAGGTCCCCCCGTTTAGGTTAACTTCTTTAGGATGCACTAAATAGGTGGCCTTAAGGCTATTTAACTAGTCTACTAAGGCCTGGGCCTTAATAGAAGCCTGATTCGTAGCAGCCCCGTTCTACTGCTAGTGGTTCCTGTTAAAGTCCCCTATAATAAGGGTCGGCTTAGGGATCTAAAGGCCCTATAGCACGCGATCTTCGGTCCAGGGTCGGCTTCTAGAGCCTAAAAAAGAAGGAAAAGAAGAAGAAGAAGAAGAAGAAGAGGTCGAAGTGGTAGAGGGGGTAGGGCTAGGAGGCCTTAAAAGCCCTTTACCTGTTATCTCGGGGTCCTATTCTGTTTAATTATAGACGTTCAGGATATAGAAGGTCTATAGATAATAGACCTCTATAAGCTATGCGTCTATATTATCTAGAAGGTCTTCGCGGTGTGAAAAATCGATAGCCGAGCCCTTTTTTATATAAGTAAGGACCCTAGGTTTAATAGGAAAAAACTAGGTTTTTCGAGACGTAGGCGTAATAGCATAGAAGGCTGGGTAGTTACGAATATACCACCCTTCTGGTTTCGGGACGTAGGAGGGCTCCTGAATAAGGACTATATTAGCCGAAGCCTCTAAAGCCTATTCTAGGATAGCTTCCTACGCTAGGCCCTGTTTATCGATGTTATACTGAATAAACCGGATTTCTTTTAAGCTAAAATACCTCTTATTTGTTAAGGTTTAATAGCTCGAAAGACCTCGTAGTTTTTACTATAAGGGGGGTATACCCCCTCGTAATTATAGCACTTATAGGTCTTATATTCGTACTCGCCGTATTCCTCGTATTCATTATAGTAGTGTTCTTAATCGCCGTGGCCCTCCTTAGCATAGATAGAGCAGGTAGTAAGGCTTTTATAGGTCCCTCGGGTATACCCGAATTTCCAGCAGTTAGAGCACTAGGTTCTAGGGGTTATAGGCCTATATTTATAGACTTTTAGCCGCTGACCGGCTATATAGAGCCCCTGTTTTAAGCAGTATTTCTGCTCTTTAGTAGTAGGCACTAAGATAACAATAGTACCGTGAATCCCGTCTAGGGTTCCTAGCCACCGAGGCTTCCCTACTACCCTAATAGGGTTAAAGGTACCGATTTCGGTGATTAGGTCCTTTAAACCTAGGCCCTAATAAAGGCTGCAGTTTCGGGCTTCTAGCGGTGTGTCGGGAGGGTTAGCAGGGTTAGCAGGGTCGGATAACAGGGTTTCCCCTCCTCCGAAGGCCCTAATAGGCACCTGTTTAATAATAAGCTTAAACTAGTCGCCTATAGGTTAGGGGGGCTGAAGAGACAGGTTTAGCTCCTTAAACAACTAATTCTGAGAGTCTAGGAGCTGCTAAACGCTGTATTTCGGGCCCGGGGTTAAAATAAGGTTCCTATTAGTTCATAGGCTAATAGCCGTAATAGCAGGGATTTTTAGGGCCTTATTTAGCCTGTTCCGGAGCTTAAGGGGATTAAAGTTCTCCCGGGAGATCGTTTCCCCTGCCGTAGGCTATAAAATAACCTTAGGGACCTTTTTAGGGTCCGTGGGGAGGGGGGCCGGGGGGGTAGAAGGTGCTAAGGCCTTTTAGGGGGCCTGGGGTGCTATAGAGCCTGTTTTTCCCTTTAAAGCCTCGCTATGAAGGGGTTTAGGCTGTTCTGTAAGCCTACGAACTGCTTAGGCTAGTTCGTCAACCTTCTACTTAAGCGTAGGGGGCTAGGAGCCTTATAGGGTACCGTCGATAGCAGATTTAAGCCCTACGGATAGGGCTTTAATCTAGGGGATAGGGTCGAGGTCGTAGGCCTGTTAGAGTAGCTGAAAAGCCTGCTGAAGAAGCCCCCTAGCCTAGGCCTTACTAGCCGAACTAGTCGACTTCTAGGGCGTAGTAGAGGGGTTTCTAGTAGTTCCAGGGGCCTTTTTAGCCTATTTAGAGCCTATAAGGCCCTGTTTTTTAGCAGGGGGGGGCCTAGAGGGCGTTTCGAAGAGGCCTTCGGCCTTAGAGTCGGAGGGGGGCTCGGTTCGGGTCCTAGAAAACCTTCTAGGGGTTAGGGTCGAAGGGCTAAGCTGCCTTTTCGAATTAAGGGGTGTAATAAAGGTAGAAGTCCCTGTATTTACAGGGTTTTAGGGGTTTCCCCTATTTCTACCTCCCCTAAGCCCTCTATAATTATAGAGGGCTTAGGGTTAGTTCCGGGGGCGTTATAGTGGGTTAGGGCGTTGTTATGGTTAGTGTTGTGGCTGGTGTTATGGCTGTTATTGTGGCTGGGGTCTTTTATGGGGTGCTGGGGTCGCGAGGCGTTGGTGGTTACGGCTCTGCGCGGCTGCTTTATTAGCGGCGCACGGGCTATATTAGATTTTTCCTTTGCACGCGGGGCACCAGTAGGTGCGTTTCCAGGCGTTTTCGCACTTATTTTACGCCCTAAATAGCGCCTGCGCGATACAGGGCTATAGATAGGCGTATAGAGCTTGAAAAGAGCTATCGATTGATATAGCTTTTAAGTGGTTTAGAGCGTTTGCGTGTAAAACGTGGGTCCCCCCAAGAGAGTTGTCGCGCTGCTGACCGCGAACCCTATATAGCCTATAAGAATACTATATAAGACCTATATAGTCTATAAAAGCATAGTAAGCCTAATATATTATATATAGGGCGGGCATATAGTAGAGAGCGCGAGGGCATAGTATAATAGCCCCTAGGTGTCTTAACCTCTTATTAGCGGTAAAATCCCCTATGGATTTGCGCGTGGCTGCTAATAGAGGGCCGCTTTAACGCCGGCCTAGTCAGGAAATTAAGCAGGTAACTAACTAGAGAGATATCTATAAAAGATGCAGCGGATCCCAAGTGCCCTTGCACTGGACGTGTGAACAGCCTTAGTCCCAATCCACCCAGGGATTCTATCTTCCGTTCCAGCTCTCCTTAGCTATCAACGCATGGTTATCAGTACCAGCTTAATTACCCAATCGTAAGTTACTACAAGCGAACACACGCAGTTGCTATAGCTTAGCTCTTGTGGTGCGCATTCCGTCTAACACATGCGCAGATGTCTGGCCAAGTCACGTATGGGCCGGTGCAGAGAGTCCGCAACCGCGAGTACTCCACTGCCAGCGACGGAACCCAGTTCAAACGTAGGGTCAGGTCGGACGGTAGACGCACCGCATGGGAGCCCGTTTCGCCTCCTTTGGAGGCCGAGGATCCTCGTCTATCTCTCATGCTGGTTCTCCAGAAACAGGCTGAGGGGGAGCCATTCCACTGGTCCTTGTTCGTTGCTCCGGAGGGAAAGCAAGGCAATGTCTACCAGGTCAAGGGCGACGCTACATTCATGCGGCATGACTTCGTTCAGAATGTTCGGCTTCTCAGTTCGGCCAGCTACCATACTTCGTACGTTTTGGCTCAACTCGAAGACGGCGAAGAAGCCACGGTGAAGTGGTACGCTGAGGCGGAGGCAGCCCCCCGCGCCGCAAATCGAGCCTCGGTGGTGGAGAACTGTCAGGGCTAGACGATCCGGGTCCTCAAACGCCTTCAAGGGGCTGGCATTATGAGTGAGGAATGGGTCACTTTCGCTGAAGGAATAAAGGAATCCGTTTAGGGGTTGGGAAGGCAGAGTCAACTCGTTCTCACATATTTCAGTCTTTATAGAAGACGTCACGCACGAGTTGTACACAACCTGGCATCGTTTGAACTCAGTACAGTGCAGTTGCAGCGATATTTCAAAACAGAATACAGAACCCTATCTCTTAAGTTTGTAGACGATCATGCGCCGCTAGAAAAGAACCCGCCTCGCCTTCCTGATACCTGTGATGTCCCATTCCTGCGGTTTCGTAGAGTCCATCCATGCCATCCAGTCGCCATCTTTCGAAGGTTTCATAATATTAGCGTATTCCCAATAGTCTGGATACCACCCAGCATTCTCCCAGTCCAGTATTCCAGTTATCCGACCAGCACTGTCAACCATAATATTACGTGGGGTGAGGTCGCCGTGTGTAAAGACAGAATCGGATGAGCGTGGAAGTATACTTGGGAGATTCTCTGGAAACGACCCGCCGTTATGGTGAAGATAGCGTTTGTAGATGCGGGCTTGCAAGTCGTCATCTGTTAAGATTGGAGACGAGGGCTCGTTGAGATCCTTGAGCAATATATCAGAGCTTGGTGAGCCATCAGCCAAGCACTGATATAAATGACCGAAGGCGGGTGGGCGCGGAATCTGGCGCAGCTGCCTGACCGTTCCCCAAAGTTCGTGACATATTCGCTCCTTCGTGCCATTATCAAACCCCTCCCATACAACGTGGAGTGGAGAGCCGTCAACGAGACTCATCAGGAAAATACCATGCTCTTCTCCATCCTTGAAAAAGTAGTCTGCTGTATATAATTCTGGGAGAGGAACTCGTGTGTATTCCTTCACAAGGCGTAGAGCTGCTTCTTCGCTTCTCGTGACGCGGTCGCCTCGCTTCTGAACAACGCCGGTATCGATAACCCTGACGACCGCGCCGGATTGGTTACTGAGGATGCGGGGTTGGAAATCGGTGTCATCTTCATCCATGATCGACATCTGGCATAACTTGTAAGTGCAGACGCAGAGTAAGACAAGATACTGGATCCTTGCTTGTCTAAGGGACTTACCATTCGGCTATGCCTTGGCTTAATTATAGCCGACGGTAATGCCGAAGCCCTTGAGAAGTTTGGCGCCTCCGTCGCGACTGCGTGCGTAGCGATGTCGAAGTGATGCCCGTGCTTTTGTGTTTGTGACCGTTCGGCGTGATCCCCCTCACCCTCACCACCTTTACACCTCACCACCGGGGTTCACTTGCAGCTTGCTACCAGGAACAAAGTACTTCGTACCACTAACCTGAGACGGGGAAAGCGCCACCCTGTGTCGCATGGGCACACGGACCACGACGTGGTCTATAGGGGATCCAGGGGGGATCCACGCTATAACTAAGGGCTTCGGATATAATAGGGGCGGATACCGGAAAAGACCGGATAGGATCTAAATAACTTAGTACCTATAATAGAGTCTTTATCACCTAAATTAAGGGTATAAGAGACTCTCCTAGATATAACTTAATATAATATATATATATAAGATTTCTACTCTACTAAGTTAATTATTAAAGTGCCTTTTAACGTGCGATAGTTATAAGCCCGGTTTATAACGCCTAAAAGATAGATATTAATAAGGCTACCCTTATTCTACTATAAAGAAGTAATTACGTCTATATAAGTACTCTTAAATAACTACTATTAACCTAATTAGAGTAATTAAAAGATTAATTAACCTACCTATTAATTAATTAACCGATAAACGATAATCTAGTAAAGATATCTTCTAATATATCTAACGCCGAATAAAAGGCGGCCGCTATAACCCTTATTAACTAAAGGGATTAGGTAGTTTAGGAGCGCGCCGTATACGGTAAATCGGCCTCTTACTAGGATAATTACCTTAATCTAAAGCTAAGCGATAAGGAGGCTAACGCCTATCTCCTCCCTATACCTATACCCCCTAATATTCGTAAATATAAAGCCCTCGCCGTGGACCCTAACGCGGAGGAGGCTATAGCTACCACCGTCACGGCTACTCCGTCTTCTATTATCACGCTAAAGGGCGATAAGGCCACGGATACTACGGACACCGCCGTTATAGCCGCTACTATAACGGCCACGGCCGCCGGTAAGAGGAAAACGGCCGCTCGCCGGAAGGCTACGGCTATAACGAAAGAACTAATAACTAGGACGCCTATATCTATTAATAACCTCTTTAAAAAGGGGTATACGCGTTACTTATAAGATTACCGCGTATACCGTAAGGAAAAGGCAGACTATAACGTGTAGTAGAAGGAGTTTAACGAGGTATACTCCTATATTAAAAGGACTATTCATACTATATTATATAACCTCCTCGCCTAGCTGTAGAATAATACTATAAATAACGTATAGGCTTAGATTACTCTTTTATACACGTATATAGGACTAATATCTATAAATCTTTATAAGGAAGCCTTAATCCTATACCGATAATATACTACGCTAATAAAGACTATACCTAAGGATATAAACGCTTAGGTAGTAAGCTAGAAAATAGCGATGATACACTATAAATATATAGGCGTTTTAAAACTATGAAGCGGGGACTATTAGGCAGAAAACGCGTTAAAAGCTATTAAACCTATTACCTAGGAATAAAGTAATAACTACCTAGTAAATAACTATAATAAGATTACGGAAAATAAACTAACGATTAACGACTTCGTAAAGGCTCTACGGGCGGTTCTTAGTAATATATAGAGCCTATAATCCACCGCTATAAAGCCTAGAGCTAGGAGAGGCACCTTTAATACCCTTAAGAACCTCCCCGATACTAAGGATACTACTAATAATAATAATAATAAGAAGCGCCCTCGTAGTAATATATCCGTAAAGGCTATCCCTCCTATAATAAGGAGGCCTTATAAGATATATAAGAATACCTATACCACCGCCGACTATTAGTATATAAGGCCGAATATACGCCCTTATACCTGGCGTAGCCGTGAAGATATTATAAAGGTCGCGGAAAAGAAGATACGTATTTATAGTTTTAAAAGTCGCGTAGACACTATAATATAGAAGAGGCGGGAAGTAGTAGCTACTACCGCTAATAAGATAAAGGAAGTTTAGGAAGATTAACTCTATAATACTACGCTTACTATTATAGCTTATAAAGACCTATCTGTTACCGCGATAGGGAGACTAAAAGCCCCCCTAACCTAGGGGATAGCGCGTCGTCGTATAACGATACTATTAAGATTATAATAAGAATAGGGGATATCCTTTTCTATTAACTAAGCTAGAGCGCTATTATACTACGCGATCCTAGACTTAGGATCGTTAATCTATATCTTTAATAATGAAGGCCGTTTTACGACCGTTAGACTACCTATAGTTAATGTATTAACGCTTTAGATGGGTATTTATAAGGCTCCTATCTTTAGATACAGAGATATTAAGCTATATATATCATCCCTAACGGGTATAAAAAGGCTATTATACCTCCGTAATATTATATACTATAAGGAATTCGTTACTAATATCGTCTCGGAACGCTAGCTACGCCTATAAGGTTACTGCTAGGATACCGTAAACGATACTATTATTAGCTCCGCCGATGATCGGCCTATTTATAAGCTATTAGATATCCACGGCTAGTATATAATCGAGCGCGCGGAAGCTATGGCCGCTACCGCGTTCGCGGTCTTGGTAAGGTACCCCCGCGATAACCCGTATAGAAGATCACGATAACCGCGGTAACCGTAGAAGACCACGGTATGATAGTGGCACGAACGCCTCGGCCACTACGGTACCGATACTCTCGTAAAGATCGTCGACGCCACTTAGGTGGTAAAGATAAAGGGACCTCGTATAATAGACTATAACGCGTATGGGTAATCGTAAGTGCCTACACAGATCCGGCGGATACTATCCCTTTACCCGTTAAAGCCCGGAGAGGCCCTAGCTATTAATTTTCACGATCTAGAAGAGGCGGAGTAATTAGCGGGCGGACTATATAAGTCTATTATATTCGTTATAGACGTGTATATAGGTTATACGTGGGATTACTACCTATAGAGAAAAGACTAAGGCTCTATTCTATACGCTCTAAAAGACGTTTTTACCCTGCTTAAGACCTAATTCGATATTAGGCTACGCGTTCTACGGGCCGATTCTAAGATATTTTAGCACCCAGAAATTATTGCTTTCCTCGCTACTAAGGGGGTAGAAGGTTAGCCGTCGGCATTATATTCATAGGATTAGAATAGCGTTATAGAATGGATTAAAGGTATCGTTAAAAGGAGGGCGAGGGCTATAAGGATTAGGGCTGATCTGCCTATATCTATCTAGCCTAAGATCTTTAAGACTACTATATATCTATATAATAGGACGCCACGATATATTAACGACTAGCGAATGCTATACGAAGGCCTACGCGGCCGTTAACCTAACCTCACACACCTATAAGCTTACGGCTATAAAGCCTTTATAAAAATATAAAATACCTAAGCTAAAAGAAACCGCCTATAAAGGCTAGAACCGAAGGTATAGATCGGTTATCACGTCGGATACTAATCCTCGAATAGCATCCGTATATAGCTACTATACCTAACGGATATTATTATTATAAAAGACGTGGTCTTTAACGAAGATAAGATATTTAACGGCAGGATTAAAACGCTATAAGCTATAGCTTCCGCGGAGGAAATCGGGGAACGCCTATAATCTATCCGTATTACCTAATCTAATAAGACCGCGAATAGGCTACTATTAAGGGGTATAGCCGTAGATATATTAGATCTTAAGTCGGAAGACTCTAACGCCACCGCTATTACTACGGGTAAAGGCGATACTACTGCTATTACTACGGATAAAGGCGAGGCCGTCGCTATTACTATAAGAGAGGCTACTACTATTACTATAGACTACACCGCTATTACTATAGGCACTGCTATTACTACGGATACTACTATTACTGCAGGAAAAGACGATACCACCGCTATTACTACGGGTAAAAGTAACGCTACCGCTATTACTACGGACACTACTATTACTATAGAAGAAGACTATACTACCGCTAGTACTACGGATAAAGGCGAGGCCGTCGCTATTACTACAAGAGAGGCCACTACTATTACCATAGATAAGGTTCTAAATCTATAGCCTAATAACTAGGCTATAGATTTAGAACCTTATAACTCTAACACTACCATTATTACTACGGGAGAGGCTACCGCTATTACTACGGACACTTCACGGTTTACCACTACGAGGTTTAAACCGTTTCCTACGCCTCTAATATCCCCGGAAGATCCCGCACGCGCGTTCCTTATAGCGTTAACGGTAATTAGGGGAATTAAGGCAGAAGAACACGATAACTATAAACGGATAGCCGCGGATACCCTTAGGGGGTGCCCGTCGGCCGTACGCCTATCGGCCGCGCGCCTATCTACCACGAGAACTATCGTAAGTCTATACACGACTAAGAAGGTCTAGAACGATAACGCCTAAAAGGCGTTCTTTAATACTAGCAGGACTTATAATCCTATACGCGCGAGGAAGTAAGCTATTAACGACGGTACTATCGGTATTATAGATTCTACTCCCTTTAATACCTCTTAGCCGCTATCGCACGTAACCCGCGAGGATCTCCCGTCTCTACTAAAGCACCACCGCGATATACGCCTCCACCCGTTACGGGAGCGGTGGTTATAGGCCGAGGGGGAATACCTTAAGGGGCACCGATAGATAGACTGCTAGCAGGAGGTAGGTGGTAATCAGGCTAATAAGTAATAAGTCCTCGCCTGCAGATAAGTATACACCTATAAATTCAATAAGGAGGGCACCCTCCTTAAGTGTAAGACACGCCTTATAGTCCGAGGGGATTAATAAAAACGGTTAAAGACTAAAGATAACTATACCGTAACGCTAGCCTCGCGGTCCTTCCGTATACTAATAGCGATTGCCGCCTGATTTAACTTAAAGATAAGGTAGTTCGATACCATTAACGCGTTCGTTAACGCTAGCCTTAAAGAAGAGGTGTTTATAAAGATACCGTAAGGCTACGAAGTACTAGGAAAGCCCCTACTACCACGGAAAGCCCTCTTCGGTTTAAGGGTATCGCTACTACTATAGTAAGAGGAATTTAGCGGCACGCTATAGAAGATAGGCTTTATAGCCGTCCTTAACGACTCCTATATTATAATTCGCGA